TGCTGCCTGGGACCAGCAGGGCCAGGAGAGGAGGGACGTGCGAGGGGCTGGGCGCTCCCGAGGCCCCCCAGCCGCCTGGAGCTGGCTCTGCCCTGGGAGGAGACCCGGGAGACGATGTCTTCCTTCGGGACAGGCAGGCCTGCTGGAGGCTGGCTCCGGGCGGAGAGAACCCGTGGCCCGGACCCCGTGTCTCAGCGGCAGGCCCTGCTTCTCCCCCTCCCAGTCGTTTCTTCCAAGACAGGCTGGGGGACCCCTTGTGTCAGATGCCTGCAAAGCCGGTGCAGAGCTGAGGCGTCCTTCTGCAGCTGGGGGACCACCTGGTTCGTTCTGTGCGTATGGAGACCCCGGAGACCTCACATCCTGGATCTCCCAGGACAACCCGTTTCAAGCTTTCAGTCCCTTCGACCCCTGAGAGCCACGGACACCTCCAGGACCCCCCTACGGCCCCCCTGAGGGGGCACCCCATGGCTTCGGGGCTGGCTTGCCAGCCTGCGAGGGCGGGAGAGCCTGAGGCTGGGTGTGGAAACGTGGTCCCGGTGACCCCCAAGACTGGCCTGTGGGGGCCCCCAACCTCCATCCGAGCATCCTCTGAGCTGGGGAAGGCGGGTCTCAGTCAGAAGCACCCACACCCCCCTCTGTGTGGACACCCCCCTCTACCGGTGCCCAGTGACCCCTCTGCAGGACCCGGTGGGGACACGGGTCCGCTCTCTGGGAGGATGAGGAGGAAATTAACTTCCTAAGACAGTTCACTGGACTGCCTCTTGGAGCAGAGCAGCCATCGCCCTGTTCTGGGCTCTGTCATCCCAGCAGGAAGGCCCCCCAGAATCTCACTGAGGAAGGTCCCACCCGATCATGGCAACAGGTGACACTGGGTGGGGGGGGCTGTGGGAGAGGATGGCGGTGGGGAGACCATGGTGACAGGTGACACTGGGTGGGGGTGATGGCTGTGGGAGAGGATGGCGGTGGGGAGAAGTCCTTCCAGCACATTCATTTAAAACACTTGGAGAGAAACTGATGGGGATGGAGAAGGATGAAGGACCACAACAGGGAGGATGAGAGGTGGGAAGGTGGGGGGTGAGAAAGGGAGAGAAGGAGGGAGGGAAGGAAGGAGAGAGGAAGGGAGCCCTCAGGCCAGTGCCCCTGGGCCTGCTCACACCTCTAACTCCTACAGAGCGCCAGCAGGGACCTGCTCTTTCTGTAAAGTGCTGGAGAGTAAACGCTGAGCTTTGCTGACCGGGCTTTGCGGGACCAGCAGTCCCCATGCCAGCACCGCTCTGCCTGCAGCACCAAGGCTGCCACGTCAGCAAATGAGCACGGCTGGGTTCCCATAAAACTTTATTTACAAGAACAGGCGGTGCGTGGCCGGCCAAGCCCGAGCTAGACTACGGACCCTGCCCATCGTCTCCCCTGCCAAGGCCACAGCGGGAAAGCAGGCCAGTCCAGCCTCAGGCCCGGTGACCAGAGAGACAGCAGAACCCCACGGGGACGGCCATCTGTCCGTCCAGGTCAGCCCCCCAGCTCCTCCTGCTCTGAGGGCCCACTGCCTTGGAGGCCGGGTGCTAAGCAAGTCCTCTGACCGCCTCGGTGCTAAGCTCCTGCCCCCTGGGAGCCATCCGGGAGGGAGGCCCTGCTCGCCCGGACCTCCTGACCCTGAGCCGGGATCTCTGGGAGGAAGCGGTGGGAGGCAGATAAAGGTGCTCACAGCATCCAGGGTGATTCCCGCAGAGGGTGCCCCAGGGCAGAGCCAGGGGATATGGGCCACCCACGCTGCTGCTTCCCGCCATCTGAGTCACCTCCCAGGTGGTCCGTCGCTGCGGCAACCCCAGGGCCACTCTTGACTCAGTCACCTGCCAGTCTCTACCCCGTGTCCAGGCCACGGTTAAAGCCAACACTTCCTTCTCACCGCCGTCCCGTTGCCCACACCCAGCGGCGTCCTGGCAGGGCCCCTGGAGCCATCGGCTGCCCGCCTCTTTCCGTGGGTCTCAACGCGACCTGCCCTCTGCGTGTCCCCCAGGTACTCCGCTAGCCCCCTTCCTGGGGACGGCCGTGGGCAGGATGCTTCCGTCCCCCGACTCCTCTCTGCCGGCCCTGCTCTGGGGCCTCCAACCCTTGGGGAAGCTCACGCACCCCAACAGCGGCTTGGCCACTGGCTAGGACTCGCCCTTAGCTCTTCCGAGCTTCTGTTTGCTCCTCTGAAAGAGGGTGTCCCACGCTCACCCAGGACTCCACGGAGAGTGTCCGGAGAGGACCGGGGACACGGCCATGTCACTTTCCCCCTAAGCCGTGCTCCGTGCACTGAACAGAGATCGCCGTTACCCATCGTCTTGGTCACTGCACCTGGTCCTGCAGGTGGACGCTGCCTTTGGGCCGGGACCCGGGTGCTTAGATGCGGAGCTAGAACGATCACGTTGAGGGGCCCTTCGGAGCCAGGGGTCCCCCGACTCCTCTCTGCCGGCCCTGCTCTGGGGCCTCCAACCCTTGGGGAAGCTCACGCACCCCAACAGCGGCTTGGCCACTGGCTAGGACTCGCCCTTAGCTCTTCCGAGCTTCTGTTTGCTCCTCTGAAAGAGGGTGTCCCACGCTCACCCAGGACTCCACGGAGAGTGTCCGGGAGGGGGGGACCGGGGACACGGCCATGTCACTTTCCCCCTAAGCCGTGCTCCGTGCACTGAACAGAGATCGCCGTTACCCATCGTCTTGGTCACTGCACCTGGTCCTGCAGGTGGACGCTGCCTTTGGGCCGGGACCCGAGTGCTTAGATGCGGAGCTAGAACAGATCACGTTGAGGGGCCCTTCGGAGCCAGGGATTGGCAAACTTGTTCTGTGAGGAGCCATCGAGATACTGGTTTGGTCTAGAACGCGCCTGTTAACACTGACCCACGGGCGTCCCCAGCGGGCACCACCCCAGCTCCGGACCAGCCTCCTCTGCCATCATGAGACACATGCAGGTGCCCAGGCCTCCCAGGGCCTAGTGCTGCTACAGGAGTGCCAGGGCCTGCGATGGCTCTTCACCAGGTGGGAGGGCACAGCCCTTGTCCCCGCCCAGAAGCAACAGAGTCACAGAGGGTGTGTCCGAATATGGCCCTGCGGGGCTGGGACGGGAGGGGTGGGGACAGAGCTGGCCGTGCTGCTGCCCTCACTACCCACACATCATCACACACAGCCATGCACGCACATGGGCACCCACATACGGGTGCACACACACATGGGTGCACACACATGGGTACAGACACACATGAATGCGCACACGGTGCACACACACACGGGTACTCACACACATGGGCACTCACATACAGGTGCACACACACATGGGTACAGACACACATGAATGCACACATGGGTACACACACAT